TTTTTTTTTTTTTTTTTTTTTTTTTTTCATACGAGAAAAGTTCCATTTCAACGGGCTCTTTTCGTGGTCCTTTGATATTGGAACATTTAAAATCTGATGGAGTCGCAACTCTAATGCGTACCGTAACGTATCGTGTGTTTAATAATTATGATCAACGCGATCCACGATCGTATCCGGTGACCTATGATAGAGTTGCCGGAAGAAACTTTTCGTTAGGAAGCTAGAGGCTATTGCGAATTACCGATGAGGAACAAAGAGTGTGCAGGTGTTCATCCGCGAAAGGATAATTTTCAACTTCGTTTCATCTACGAGAACGGTTAATATCGGTAATAATGATAATTGTTTCACTTTCGTGAAAAATTATGTATTATAGATCGAGCACGATAATTCGCGGCTCGTTTGTCGTCGACTACGAATTGAGCGTATTATGACGATTTCACGCGTGATTTGAGTTCCTTAGAAGCGAAGGGTGAACTAAGGGTAGTCGTAACTATTGATTGGCCCAATTATTTCCATCGAGTTAGAAACTCGGCGCGCCGGCTCGTTTAAACTCGATGATCACTTTATTAGAATTTCTTTCTAGTCTGAGAAAGGCTCCTTCTACGAACGATTAATTCTACATTGATTACTATTGATATAGTTAAGACGACAGTTTCTGGGAATAATGTTGAAAGATTTACGATCAACGAAGCTTGTTCAATAAATGTCTGAATTAATAAATACGACGTGCGGAATGCAGATATTCATAACCCAGCATGCGCATTCATATTTGTCATCGCGTTAACAAGATAGTATACAGGTATTCATTAAATGTAAAGAACAAATTACCGTACTAATATTACAACATTAAACAGCGTTTGCAAAATGTTTGCAAACACTTAACGTTCAGTTAACGTGATATATCCACGTTTCAGGAACATATTTTGAATAACGCAGAAAACAAATGACAAAGGAGTAATTGTTCCTGAACTATCTGCGAGCACCAATGAGGACGAACCTTTATTACGGGATAATCAACATTTAATTCATTGTCGATTAATTCTCTTTGTTTGCGATTCAATAGAAAGTTAATAATTATCGCTGAAATCACTAATGTGTAAACTGTTCACAGGAGTTAGTTTCCGGTCGAAAATATAGATTTTCTCTGCAAAGCACAGTCGATAAGTTTGAACGCGTACGTACGCTATTAGACTAATCTTTTTTGCGTGTCGTTCAATGAAATAACATCGTTGCGTTCCAGTTTCGTTAAAATTGAAATGCTGCTTGAAATGGTAAGTACACACGCATTTCGTCGATATTCAATCATAGAAATACAAACACAATACAGTTAGTAACACTGCGCACCGCAGTTCATACATCTGTTTTGGTTTTTTTTTCACTGTTTGCCAACCTATCTTGTCGAGTGTACACAAGGATAAAATTTTGCGCCAGGGCCACGAGTTTTTCGTTTCGATCCGCTATTGGTTGCTTCGAACAAATTTCCAATGATCTCAACAGCGTGATTTATTGCAAATCGCGTTTCTACGATTCATCACGTTCGTGCCATAAGAAGCGTTAAGGTATAGCGATTGTGATAATTTATATTTGTATCACAATGCTATAAATAAATAAATAAATAACTCCGTAATTGATTTTTGTT